TTTAAATAACTTGCGATCATTTTAACAGATTCCCACTGAACTTAATCATAATTAAAAATAAATGTTTTATACTTAGTTTAAAAAATAGTATGACAAATTGGAAAAAAAGGTTTTTGTGACGCGTTTCATCTGTTATGATTTAATCGGACTGGGCTTTGTTGATGTTGCCATATCTACACATGTGCATGAAACGAGAGATGCTGGTGGTTTCAAAATTTTTGAAAGAATATTTTTTCAATCCAGCTAAATTCATCAATTGCCAGAATGAATACACTGGAGAAATCTCAAGAAGTTTAAACAAAAGACTATATGAACACAAATGGGACATTTAAAAAAAAACAAAACAAAACAAAAAAAAAAAAAAAAAAAAAAAAAAAACAGTACACAAAACGTATTTGGTTTTTCGCCGTAACTAAACTGATCACAATTTTGACATAGGGGATGCTATTTTGATTAAAAGAGAAAATAATTGACCAAGACGAAAATGTTCAGCCATGGTAAATTTACGTCTCGGCTCTTACAATGTATCACCATCCTTGGTAGATTTTCTGTTGTCACGATGTGGGGTTGTCAGGGACGAAGGTGATGGAGAGAAAAAGAAAAAGAATGCAGATGAATTTGGCTAGACTGAAAAAAAATATTCTTCCAAAAATATTCTTTCAAAAATGTTGAAACTGCCAGCGTCTCTCGTTTCGTGCGCATTTGTAGACGTAGTAACATCAACAAAGCCCAGTCCAATGAAATCCTGAACTGATGAAACACGTCATAAAAACTTTTTTCCAATTTGTCATACTATTTTTCTAAATACTGTTTGTAGATATATAAAATTATACAAAATTATATATCGTTATGTCATACTTAGTTTAAAAAATACTTGAAAATTTGATAGTCTTTCTATGCATTTTTAAAATTATCTGACAAATGCATGTACGCATGTACATTATTGTTATAAAAATAATATTAAAAATCAAGTTTATAAAAATTATATACAATAGTTGGTTATAATATTATAGCTACAATATAAGATTAAATGTTCTTTTTACTTTTTAGTATAAAGCGTTATCACATATTTTTAAAATTTTCTGTAAATAAATTAAATTTTACTATCAAGGTCTCCTGACGAGTGGATGCAACGTCTGCGAAACTCAAAATAGGGACAGTAAAGTGAACATTTAATTTTATATACTACTTTTAATGCGACATCTCTTGATATTGAGCACTTTAATTATATAGATTCTTCTTCTATGTGACGGGTTACTCCAAGACATTGGCGATCATGGCTCTCCACAATTTTTTGTTCTTTGTAACTCTTAATAAATTTTGTCTTTTGAATATTTCTTCTAAACCTTGCTCTGACATTCATCTACCCAAGCTCGCTAGGTAGGTTATTAGTTGTTTTTCTAAGTGCCTCTTGTCTTCAATCTGTCATGTGAGTATGAAATTTTCCAAGCTCTCTTTCCTCATTATGTGTCCTAGAATATAGACTACTTACCCTAAAAGTGTTAACTTCTAGAAATACCCTTATTAATCATTTTTGTTGTTGAAACAGTCTTTGCTTACACACACAAACACACGCGCGCACACATACAAACACACACACACATATATATATATATATATATATATATATATATATATTTGTGTGTGTGTGTGTATAAAAGTGAACATTGAAGTCAACACTCAGAGGCGACAGGCTGTTTCATGTTAGACGCAATCGTCAGGCGGCCTGAATTCAATGTTCACTTTTATATTTATATTTACATACGCTCTATCTCTGATATTGAGCACTTTATCCCATAAATATAGTACACTTTAAAACTATATATATATATATATATATATATATATATATATATATATATATATATATATAAACTACTCCTCGTCTGTGCCATGAAAGTCTCATGCTATGATTATAATGGTATAATGGCAACAGCTACATCCAAACTAATGGTATGGAAAACCACTGGGACTTTCTCTAACTTGTCTTATGTTGAAAATAAAGTCTTTAAAATCAGTTGAGAAATCACAAATCTACACTATGTACATTGACCACATTTTTGTTTTGATGAAAAATAAGGACGTAATTATAAATCAACTTAAAAATTTACATATGAACTCAAGGTTAATAACAAAATTCCATTTATTAATGTTGATATAGAAGTAAAATCCAAAGTATTTACCACTTACCCGTATAGAAATCCTCCACCAGTACGAACTCTTGTAATCTAAACCATGATATCCAATGCCCAGAAAGATATAAAATAGCAGTGATAACAAACTTCTCAGAGCATACCAAAATTCTTCTTCCCAAAGAATATTTCTAATCGAACTAAAACATATAAAACAAACGTTAGTAAACAATAATTTTACCAACTATATCATTGATAAACAAATAAAATTATTCTTAAAAAAAATCCACGACAACGGTAATAAATACTACACAACAAAACATCAACATATTTTACTGCAACCAAATACGCAATAATTATAAGCAGGATGAATTCGCTCCAAATTAAACACAATATTTTTACCTTAATTCCCCCAAAATATTTAAAATTTATGATGTATTATAAAAAAATGGAAGACCGTAAACCTTGTTGCCTCTAATCAAAATAATCAATATAGTGTATCAATTTCACTGCCCAGTACAAGACTGTGTTTCTTTTCACAAATCAATTACCTATATTGGCCATACTACCACCTCCTCGTATAGACGCCTCACGTGCTACTTATCAGTCCAAGGTGCAATAAAAAAATAAATCTATCAACCCATAATTTACAAGAACCCATAAGAAAAATTCTGGTCGTAAACGCAAGAATTTTATATAAACAACATTATCAGAAACATCTCACTATTAGAGAGGCCCTGTATATCAAACATTTTTCTCATACACGCATTATTTAATAGTGGGAATAGAGTGTTAAAAGTTTTTTTTACATTATTTACATTATTCGGACTATTGTCTTTATCTTTGTCGCCATATTTATTACAACTTTTCGGCCGTTGTACGCTCCGGCCTTCTTCAGGTGGTTGGAAACCTGATGAAGGCCGGAGCGTACAACGGCCGAAGCGTTGTAATAAATATGGCGACAAAGATGAAGACAATAGTCCGAATAATGTAAATAATGTACATAATACCTCATCTCAGAAATATAGACAGACTCTAAAAGTTTTTTTTATATAGAAAGATGCTCACACGAATTTAAGCCGCGCACAACATGTGAAGGCTCAGAATAAACGCTCTTATTCGAAACAACACAAAAATAAAAACGTAGTTGTCAAAACATGAGGTAAAATACCAATACCAGAGAAAAAAAAAACACCCTTGAAAATGGCTATAGAAGTGACCGAGAGCGCTTGGGACAATAAAAATTATGAAAAAAATTTGTACTCCCTTACTCCTACAAAACGAAAAAAAAAGTATGGATGCTGGAAAAACTTAAAAAAAAAAAAATGTTCCTTATCGTCCGTATTTATTGAAAGATGTTTGAAAGAAAGGTTGCTGCCGAAATATACATTAATTTTTATATATATATATATATATATATATATATATATATATATATATATATATATATATATATATAAACAACGCACATAGCTTGAAGATTGCGTTTAAGCATGGAACAGACTGTCGCCGCTGTGAGTGGTGTCTGTGTGTGTGTGAGTGTCTGTGTATATATGTATATGTATGTAGGTATATAAGAAAGAGAAAGGTTTGAGAAGTAGACAGAATTACTGGGAGAAAAACAAATTAAAATAGTTTATTTTCAACATCTGTAGTCTTAGTTTACTGTTAAAGGATTTTTATTTCATAGCGAGGTTTAATCAAGGGCGTCGTGTGAAAATCCATCTAACTTGCTGAACAACTAAAGTCAATTAAATTAAAATACATTTTATAACGTTATACGCAATTGCTTCCAGCAACGCCTTCAGGCGATTCCGGAAATGACGTAAAAGCTCATATATGGTATAAAAGTAGTTTCCCAGCAAATCATTTCACTTGCTTCATCGTCCAAATTGTACAGTTACCTGAAAGACGAAGATGCATCGGATAACTTGCAGTATTCTTTTAATGCCATTTTGCTTGTTACACATGACCGTTCTTGTGTGCGGCTTTGCGGCTGTTACGAATAACGAGACATCTGAATTATACTATTTATCGTTAGAGCCAGAAACTCAAGCCGGCAATCTCATGGTCCATTGTCGATCGAATTCATCTGACAATAAGGTTGTATGCATGAATCCTGGTGACACACTTCGTCTTGATCTCTGTGTCGCATATAATACATCAGTTGGTATAATGGGAGTGCTTTTCTATTGTGTTGAGACAGACACAACAGTTGACATTTTTTTGGATGGGATGCCGCTCGGAAACTTTTCAACAGGAGCGCAATCAACCAGGAATAAGTTTTGGAATGAAATTCACGACAGCGGCCCCATTGGGAGCCTGCAGAATTTGGAACCCGGGCGCCATTATGTAGACTTATATTTAAGCCCGGATCAGATTCAAGGGATCGAAATTGATCGGCTCTATATTGGAACCACAGATAAATACATTACTGCAGATATACTAGCGTGTCAACTGAACTGCATGTGTGAACTGAACGAGCCAGAGCTGCATCCCCCAGAGACAGATATAAAACCAGCTACATTCATTCAGCGGAGTTTTCCAACAAAATGTGCTGAGGAGGACAATGTCGACATAGCCCTTATCCATCCAACGGTCCAGGCATACCGCATCACGTCTTTTTATCCGGGTTACAACAGCATGCTCAGTTATCATAGTAGGGATTTTCGGAATTGTGAGGATGTTTATACTGAACAATTATGGCTGATTAAGAATAAACCTTATGATATGAAACATAACGTCCTGATCAACATCCAGTCTATGGAATTGGATTTGAACTCATCTAAACCCCTAACGGTTAAAATTCTATTCCGACTGAAAGGAAAGTCAAAAGGTTTTATTGATGCCGACATTGGATCTGTTTTAATGATCAAGTTCAAAGAAATTGTTCATGACTTTTCTATCGCCATGTCTTTTAAAGGTAGACACGAACGTATTTCTTCGGAAGTGGAGAATCATCTCAGTAAAACATGCATCACTGCCTTCTGGTCGATACCTGATTACTCTTGGTCGGATCAGGAATTCAATGAAATCGAATTACTATTCGCTACAAATGAAAGTCAACAAGTCGTAATTGACTACATAAGTTTCAACCGGCGCCAAGAGCGAGGCGAAACAGTGACGACTTTGTACGAAAACATGGACACAGCCATCGTCGGCGTTAACGTGGACTTTTGGTGGCGTCGTCCGCATACGATGAATGTGACTATGGAAGACGGAATAGGCGATCAGAAACTATTTGAAAACATCGACTACATTCGATTGCAAAAACGAATACTTGGATCTAGCAACACATCACAGATCTTTGTTTTGTATCAGGATGGCAACATCCGCAGCTTGCCACCGCCTATACACGGATTGGATTGTGTTCCTTTCGGCTCGTCTGTCATCATCGGCCCAAGCGATCTCACTTGTTTAAAGCCTGCAGCGGATATTCAAGCTCTACACATCTATCAAGTCGTGCCTATCTTACGATTCCAGATTACTTACCGTGATAACTCAACTGCTTCGGTTGAAGTAGACACTTACGGATTCCAGACAGAAGTGCTTGTTCATGATATAGACATGGCAGGGAATAGAACTGACACCCCATTTGCACGTTTTCGCTCCATGTGGGTGACAAATGGTAATTGCAATGTGGATCATTTCAAGATAAATGGGGCAGATGGACAACCCATATTAACGGACTGGAAGAAGTTGGAAAGCACTTGGGCCAAATTCTATCGTTCCTGTGAGTCGAAACACTTAAACAAGTCACCAGATATGTGTATTGAATTACTGGAATGAAGCATTTAAACACACATACACACACACACAAACACACACACACACACAGAGGCGTTCGCGCTCAGACAAACACGTGCACACACACACACACACACACACACACACACACACACACACACACACACACACACACACACACACAAAAGAAGGTTGTGTTTTAGCATGAAACAGCCAGTGGCAACTGGCTGTTGACATCAAGGTCCACTTTACCTTAAAACTATATACACACACACACACACACACACACACACACACACACACACACACACACACACACACACACACATATATATATATATATATATAAAGGCAGCAAGAATCCGTTCAAATATGGCTTATTGAGATCCGCCGACAAGGTCTGTTTTTTTTTTTTTTTTAATTTTTCTTATTAAATTTTCCAGTTTGCGTTTAAACTGTCACAAATTCATATCAATTTTAAAGAAATCTTTAAAGTTCAAAGTTCATGATTTTTTTGTTCTAATGTTTACGACATTGTTAGGAACATTAACGTTATTAGTAACAGTAAAGCTTTTTATTAAAATCATTACTTTCATCTCGTCTTCAATCACTTTCTCACCGCCGCAACGTAGCTTTCATGCGCCTTTTCTGTAAATATTTTCAGAGTAATTATTCGGTTGTGTTTTCCTCTTTGGTACCTCGAATTTATGAATTTAAGAGCAGTACTAGATTGACTGTTAGGTCTCATCATTTTACAATTGAAATGGCTTCATGTAACCGTAACTTCTATGCTAACAGTTTCTTCTTTCTTACTTCTTGCGTGTAGAATTCCCTTCCGGCTTCTTGCTTACCAGACATCTTTGATATTCAAAAATCCAAATGCAATGCCAATCGTTAACTTCCATCTTAACTCCTTTTCTTTTATCGTTCACTCTCCTTAATAATATTTTTTCTTTTCCTCATATTCTTTCACTGTCAGTAACTCCTTGTAGCTTAGTGGCTTCAATGCCTTGCTTGGCGTGAAATAAGTAAAAGATAGAAGCTATAATTCTAATTTAAATATAGGTATAACAAATACAAATGACATCAGGTGTAGACTGGTTTGTAATTATATGTAAGATGTATTTCTTTTAGATTATAAAACAATCTGTTAATGTTAACAAAATTTGAGCGCACTTGATAAAGAAAGTTATTGATATTTAAAAGTTGTTTTTTTTAAATGCCTCTCCCTATAGTGAAAGAGTTTTAAAATGCCTTACACTGTGGTAAGAGAGTTTTTAAAATACTTTTCACTGTGGTGAGTTTTTAAAATGCTTTTCCCTGTGGTGAAATAATTTTCAAAATGCATCTCCCTGTGGTGAAAGATATTGCATTTTCATGCGGATTGTTCTTTTTGTATGAAAATAGTTTCATTTTGAGTCTTTCTTTCTAGCGAGTTATAAAAATCATCATGATTTGATTCGGATATACGACAAGTTTTGCATAAACGGGAAAATTGCTATAAAAATTGAACAGATGGACATTGTTGATTTCAATTAGACATGTATTATATTTATGTATATTGATTATCATATAACTTGTCGTTGTTTTCATATTTTGATTAATACGAAACTTAAAATAAGAAAGAAAAAACGAAAATAAAATATATGTAAAAAAAAATGAAAATACAAATAAAAAATAAATAAAAAAATCAGTAACTGAAAATACAAAGTATATTATACGAAAACACAAAATTTAAGACCAGGTAAAAAAAACAAAACAACAAAAACTAAATATGCAAATACATTTTACGTAAAACGAAAATAAAAAACCCAAGACCATGTAAAAAAAGACAAAAAACCTGAAAATACAAAATATATACGAAAAACAAAAATAGAAAACCCAAGACCAGGTAAAAAAAAAAAAAAAAAATTAAAATACCATATACATTATACAAAAACAAAAATGCAAAACCCAAGACCAGGTAAAAAAATGAAAAAACAAAAACAAAAAAAAATACAAAATATATTATACAAAAACAAAAATACAAAACCCAAGACCAAGTAAGAAAAGGACAAAACCTGAAAATACAAAATATATTATTTGAATACAAAAATACAATACCCAAGACCAAGTAAAAAAGAAGAAAAAATATCCTGAAAATACAAAATATATTATACAAAAAACAAAAATACAAAACTCAAGACGCGGTAAAAAAAACAAAAAAACAAAAACTGAAACCAAAAAAAAGTACAAAATATATGAAATAACGGGAAAAAAAACTAAAGTTAAAACCAAGAAAAAAACTCGAATATGAAAATATACGAAACCTAAAATCAAGAAAAATGTAAATGATGGAAAAAAGAAAACAAAGGCCCGAGTTAGGACAATAAATCTGAATACATGAAGTTAAAAATATTCTTTTGTTACTTTTTTAATTGATTAATTATGCCCTGGTTCTTTATTTTTGTGCTAATAGAAATTATACTAATAAAAATCTCCAATATTTTCTTTGTCTAAATCAGTTATGTTTAACTTTTTCTTCTTCAGCGCCCCTTTTAAGTTACTAACACAGGATGACGTCTCCTATGTTAAAATTCACTGGTAAATGAAGTAGAATTAATACAACAGAGTTAATGGTCATGTGTTAATGTTTTGTTGCATTATAGCAGAACAAGTTACCGGAAGTTAAGCTGTGGTGGAAGTAGTTACTGGTCTGTCAGAACATTTCAGCTCCATATTGCAATAGCATCAACATGCTTAATATATGCCTGATATTTAGGCAAACTAATGTTTATATAAAATATTCAGTGTTAAATCTGTTGGTTCCAATCCATAGTGAAATGTTTATTTTGAAATTTTTGCATTTCTTGTGGCACAAGGCCAAAGGGGAAGTGGGGAAAATCTGGTTGTCACTAATTATCCTACACTTAGTTAATCTGATTCGCGACCCATTCATTCTTACAACTGATTCATTCACTCATCCTTCTACACCCAATCCGGCATTTACCAAAATAGCACAGGATTCTACACAAAAACAGCCATGACATAAAAATTTCATAATATATACAAATTGTCTTTTTTTGATTTTTTCTTATAAAAATATAACATGAAATAAAGTGGGGAGTGGATGCAATCCATAGTGGAACGAATGCAAAAAAAATTCTCGCACCCAATTTATTGGCAAAACACACAAAATACATGCTAAGATTTTTTCATCCGACTTAGTTCTGTTCTTTATTGTCTTGAAGCCAGAACGCTGCGATCGCTTGTCCGTATCCCCTTTTGTGTGTTAACACCATTCTTAGTTTGAACTTTTTGCCATATTACCGTTGCCTTGCATATATTGTTTGTTTGCTTAATATTATTTTTTCCTTGTTGTTTTCTTTCTCTTGTTATTGTTTATTGCAAACTTTGTCAATTCTGTTTGTTGGGCAATTCTGCCAGTTACATTTAACCATGGTCATTTACTCTATAAAATCATTTTAATTTCCTGCAAAAATTGTAACGCCTTTTAACCCCCCTGAACACTTACTGTCCTCCCTTGAGAGATATGGGATTATTCAATCTTTTCTGCCAGGGGAGTACTAATACTGGCTATAAAAGAACACGGTACAAACTTTTTTCTATTTTCACCTTTTTTGTCTTCCCCTACATGATGCCGTAGGTACAAGAAGTGTCTCGTTTCTCTTTCGTACAATTTCTTAGTCTCCAGTGAACCACTTGTCATATACAACATAATACAATCACTACACTATCCCCTATTAGAAAAAAAAAAAGAACAGAAGTAAAAAAAAAAACTTTCTGTTTTGGATGGAGCGGTCTGAGGTCAAGACAATCTATCATAGTACATTTGATATCATGGCCCTCCTCAGAGACATTGCATAGTTTTCTGGTCCGTTCTCTCCAAAAAGTTGCCGACGTCTGGTCTACATGAACATATATTAATTAGGGTCAGTCATAGAAATAACATGCATTACGAGGTGTTTTCATTTTCTGTAAGGTTTATAGCAGGAGCCACAAACACGGTGACCGAGGGCTGCACATGGCTCTCTGACTATCTTTCCGCAGTTCTCCATGGAACTATTTTCGTAACCAAAATTTTCATCAAAATTTATATATTATATATAAATATATTAAACTTATTAATATATTTGTCCATGGCTCCTTCCATACTTTTGCTGTAGCAGTATGGAGTACGAAATTACCCAACACGTGCCAACAGACAACCAATCAATTTTAAGGTCAACGAGTTCTTGTTTCTCTGCTTACATTGAAATACCGGTTCTCATACGATCACCGAGGTTAAGCAACGTCGAGCCTGGTCAGTATGTAGAAGGGTGACAGCTTGGGAAAACCGGCTACTGTAAGCGTGGATGTGTATGTAGTGTAACGGATAACGTCTCGAAACAAGAAGTCGGAGAGCCGAGTTCGAATTCAAGTCGTGTTTATTGTATTCATTTATGGGCAAATACCTTTGGGAAAGGTGTGAATACATCTTCACCCCATCTGTGAGTTAAATAGCAAGATTTGTCTCTGAAAATTATTATTATCTCCAAAAATTACTAATACAATATTCACTTGCAACAACAAAATAATTATTCTTATAATCTTTAAATAACCTACAAAAGGTTGATAAGCCGTAAAAAAACGAATCAATTAAATCTTTTTTGTCTCCAGGGAAGAAAACTCGATTTTGATGCGGAACATAATTTTAAATTCTTAAAAAAATTACGCGCGAATTTTGCTTATTTTATTTTTAAAAAGATGTACTTAATTAAACATGAACAGCTGAAATACGTGAAAATCTTTCTTGTTTGCTCTACACTTCCTGGTCTCCTTTTCATTTTCATAATTTTTATCGCTTAAAAATAGCAAACTAATTTAATTTAACTTTGTAGGTTCGTAGGGTCCTGGTTGGGAAGTGATATCCTCCCCATTGCTAATATCCTGATAACAAGCCTGCTTCTGGATCATTTCACCTCTTCCTTTTGTTATTAAAATTATGAATCAATTTATTTCCTCAACATCTATATATTAAATAGGGCAGTCAGGACTATTATTAATTCAAAACGGGAGAGAATGCAACGGGAAACTGCTCCACTATCTTTCCCAGGGCAATTCACAGATAATAAAGGATGGGCCTTTGTGGAGAGCCACTATTGCCTATGTTCTGAGAGGACATGAAAACGTTGTTTAACTCCAATACCTGTTTCATAGTAAAAAAGAAGGATGATACTTTTATAGTACTCTGTGCAGAAATACTTTTCTAATAATATAATTAGCAATTTTGAATATCATAATAGTATAAATGTGCCGAAAAGTTAAATAAGGTATAATAGCTAGAAATACTTATTTAGGTAATGTCTTTCGAAAAACGGTAAGGATGTCGAATACATATTATCGAACAGTTTCAGATTAGATGATGTCGCGTAATAACGTCTTTAAGATAAAACAAATTTAAAATTTAGGTGACATAAAAATGAACATTTTTTGTAACTCATTTAAAAACAGATATAATATTAGGTACTTCCACGGACATTCCAAAAAATTGAAAAACGTATTTTTAAAATTAAAATGAATATTTTCAATAAGCAATAACTTTGCTGTATTTCAAAACGAATTCAAATTGATTGGAATGAGCTTTTTTAATCTCTAAAAATGGCGACTTTCCTCCATATTTACAAATCTTTCAACACTACATAATCCCCTTTATTAAAAAAAAAATCTTTCAAAAGTAAAATATACTTTTCTGAAACTTTATTTGAAGGAGATTAGCTGATCTAAAGTTTAATTAATCTAATTTGTAGTAACTATTACTTTTAGTTTAAAATATTTTTTTCTAAGGGAGACATTATAACACTTATTTGACGAATATAACGTGAACGCCTTTTTATATAATTTTTTAAGTACCCAGTAATCTTTAAAATTTAGGAAAATATTCCAAATAATCTAATATTTCATTGAATTTTAGGTACTTTGGCTTTATAGTCTTACGAAGACACTTGTTAGAAAATTACCGATAAATTTTAAACCGCCCTTATTTTCTGATAATGCCGTGTATGTATGTCCGTATTTAAAAAGTTTGGCAAATTTACACACACACACACACACACACACACACACACACACACACACACACACACACACACACAAAAGAAAAATTCAAAATTCTTATTAAAATACTGAGAGTCATTGAATTGTAGTAAGCTCTTCCATTTATGATTAGTAAATATAGATTTTACTTAACAATATCACCTAACAAAGTAATACAGAATTTTTAAAAATTTAAAAATTTATGATTTATTGTAATTAAGATTTAAAAAATGAAAAAATTCTTAGGACAATAGTGTCCATAATATATTTTACTCATGAATAAACTTAAAAGCTTTTCTATTTATTTTTTATTTCACTTTTTATTTTACTTTCTGTAATTAGGATTTTGTAATTTCTGTAATTGGGGTGGGGGCTTTCTATAATTGGGGTACTTTCTGTAATCGGGGGTCCCGTTTTCAAAAAAAAAAAAAAAAAAAAAAATGGAAAGAAGAAGAAAAATTGATGATTTGAATATTTAATTGATGATTTTAAATTGATTGGGTGGAAGAAATACACTTTACTCATTTCTCACTAATTGCTTTAGTAAAAAATATCACCTCAAAATACATTTTATTTCTTGATTTATTTTTAGTAAATAAATTCACTGTCTCTGAATCCCAAATATAACCTTAGCAAAAATATTTTTTTACCGTGTGAGCTAAATCGTTTGTGCTTTCTAGGACTCTAGTCATTAATATTAACAATGCTTAATAGGTTGTAGAAACAAAAGTTACTGAAAATGAAAAAAATATTAAGAATATTTTTATCTTCCTTTTGTTACAAATAAGTAACAACAAATTCACTTCCGCCCAGTTTGATGGAATCATACCTTTCCTAATGTTATTAGCACGTAAGTGAATTTATTGAACTCGACTGGAATTCGAACTCGGCACACCGGGCTGCTATCCATTACTACACCGTGTCTCCTGTATATGTTATAAAGAGGGCCTAAAACAGTATATGCAACCTTTTCTTGTAAGGGCCACTTTTTAACACTGGGAGTCTGGGACACACACCAATCAATAATTTCAGAATTAACGAAATAAATTTAAACGATATTTATTTAAGTTTGACAATGAACAAAGATAAATGAAAACAAAACTTCGTTTCTATGGAAACCCATTTATTTACAGCACAAGAGGAAAAAATAGAACAAAAAGCTGATGCTACTCAATGCTTTCTCTTAGCTTGATGTTTTCTTTTTTAAAGTGAGAGTCAAACATTTTGGGAAAAGTTTGTTAATGAGAAATGTAAGTCCCCCCATTTCTGTAACACCGAGACAATTTCGTTAATATACGATTCTCTCTGGAGAATGCCATTTCCACAAGATATGAGATACGAAAAGAGAGGAACAAAAATTATCCATACCTTCACCGAAGTTAAGTAACGTCAAGTCTGGTCAGTACCTAGATAGATGACTGTTTGGTTAATACCAGGTGCCGTAATCTTGAATCTGCGGGTGGTGTCATGGATTTCAGAATTGTTAATCGGAGAGACGATTTTCAATCCTCGTTGGGCTTGTTATATTTACTTATGCAGAAATATCCTTGGGAAATATATGTCATACTCTATCTATGGTATCCTTAGCATTGATCTATATAACCACATCTTTTTTGTGTGGCACAGAAACATGCCAACAAGACATGATCAGTAGCATGCATACCCTTCAGTATAACTACTAACCGGCAAACATCTTTTAACGTTATTTTTAGTGACTACCCATATCTACTTCTTAGATATCTAAATTTTTGTACTTGTTTGATTTTTGTGTCTCCGATATGTAATTTGCATTTTGGCCTCATCCTTTTGTTAACAACCATGCATTCTTATCTTTTTTTTATCATTTTAGTTAACATATCGAGGCTGTTAAACCCACTAAAACTAAAATATGCCACTAGAATTATTCATATTTTTCTGAGTTTACTTTTTATGCTGTTAGACGATAAATAATCACCTTTTTTATAAGCTCTATCCAGATATCAATAATATAATTTATGATTTATGTGTAATTTTATGGCATAGAACCCCTTTATAGCATGGCATTCAGGCCCGTAATAGCTATAGTTAGCCCTGTCGAATGTTAACGTTTTCTTTCTCACGTTATCTTTATTTAATTTTTATAATGTTCATTTTTTAAATGTTGTTACTGACTATTTATTTTAACTTTATTTTTGAAAATCAGTTTTCTTGATTATTTTTTTCTATTTTCAGAGTAGAAACCTATCATTTGATAATACCAGTCATTATTTAAAACGAAGGTGTCTAACAATCGATTTGGACATCCATTTTCTATTTGTTAGAGTAATGTTTTATTCGGTCAAAGTTAAAAAATAATTTAATAATTCATGGAATTCTAAAAAAGAATCATACAAAAAGCAAAATGCATTTTTCCGACATTCATTTCAAAGGCAGATCTCGTTTTTTTTATTTGAATATCCTTGAAACGAATATCCATTTGAATATCCTTGAAACGAAGAGAAATTGCTGCACTCTAGAAAGATCAAAAGAAAATAATGCAAATTTATTGACGTGATTCGATGAATATTGCCAGACAATTTCAAAAGATTCGAGCTGCAATAAAGAACAAAGAAAGGATTTCTTTCAGAAAAATGGTAAATAAATTGTTCACCCATTTCTTTTCTTCTTTTCATTGAGTTAAGATCCTTGAAAATCAAACGCTGTTCTACAAACTAAAATATTGTAAAAGCGGCACATTAACATTTTTACAATAAATGTTTCTTATTTTCATTTTACTACGAGTTAAATCAAGTAAGAGTTATTTCACATATTTTCAGATGTGTAAAAGGATGAAAGAAATTACAAAATTTGGTTGCTATCAATTTTATTTCTGCATGTATGCGTTTTATTGTAACATAGCAAAAACGGCCCATTGCAGCGCAGTTTTTGTTACAGCAATATGGTTAAAAAAAAGAGAAAATAATAAACTCTAATAGTCGTTTTTTAAAATTTTCTCATTAAGAAAATAAGAAGGATAAGCAAAGAAGAATCTTTGATTTGTCTGCACTCCACCTCATCAGCCATAATGGCGTACCAGTGACAGTACATTAATAATAATAACAACGTTTAGCGATAGTAGCATTTACAAGTTCTATAAATAGGAAGTAAGTTTGATATTAAATAAGGGTGGCAGAAGGCAGTATTAAATGAGATTTGGTAAAACAGCAAATTGAAGATTCAGTACGCATCTTGGTTAGAGAGATTCATCATTACTTTTATAGGAAGCTAGAATTACAAACGATGGAAAGTTATCAAT